TATAGATCAGAGAAGTAGGGAGCACTCATGAGACAGCAGGAAACAAGGCACCCCCAACACACTAAAATGATCCATAGAGCCCTGTAGTTCATCCACACCCAACTCTGCCTCCAAATTTATCTAGTTAAAGTCAAAGGAGTAATTCAGGAAAGTTTCTGGGGAAATCCAAGGTGAAAGAAAAGATGGGAACACATACCGGGGAAGAACATGCTATCTTCCTCCACCTGGCTTCAAGCCCTTTTTATGTACTTTGTTATAATTATTCCCTCCTCTCTTGATTCTGTGATTCCCTAGCACTATCTTCTGTCTCTTTCTGCACTCCTCAGCCTACTTCCTTTTTTCTACTGCCACACTTCTTCTCAGGGGATTTTCTTTTTAAAAAATATTTATTTTTTAGTTTTAAGTGGACACAATATCTTTATTTTACATTTATGTGGTGCTGAAGATCGAAACCAGTGCCCCAAGCATGCTAGGCAAGCACTCTACSACTGAGCCATGATCCCAGCCCCTCTCAGATGATTTTTTATTCTAAAGCATTTCCCTGAACCCTACAGCTCTAATATTTATTTGTTTGTTTGTTTATTTATTTATTTTTGGTGATACAGGGGATTGAACCCAAGGGCTCATGAGAGCTACGCAAGCACTCTACCACTGAGTTATAATCCCAGCCCTATATCTCTAATCTTAACAAGCTTAACTCTGTGAAGGATGAACACTGTTGATAAACTATTGGGGAGAGAAAGGAGGAGAAGCAACCCTTACCTTAACTCGGGTTCTTCCAGTAAAGTCCCTCCTCGGCGAGGTGGAGAGGGAGCTGGACCATTGGCCAAGATTGGTGGAGCCCGGCGACCTCGTCTGTTGATTTCAAGATGTAGCCGCTCCATGAGGAGTTTCAGGAATTCCTGGGCATCCTGCTGGCTATAGCCAGACAGATAATATGGGAAACTGACCCCTTCCTTGTCCACAGACACTATCCCCTGCCCAGACATGGTTCCTACTTCCTGGATGGAGAACATCAAGGCTCAGAACAATGTTGCTGGGGTCCCTGCGTTGCATACCCACAAGACATGACCAGAGAGAAATCTATACCCTCCAGCTCTCCCACCTGTATCCAGAGAAGGAGGGAACATATTTCTGGAAGACGGCTCGGAATCGAGTAGGATTCACAGCTTCACAGGAGTCAGGGTGCCAGAGGGCACCAATCACATCTGCAAAGGCTGTTGGGGTGAGATTGGGGAAGGGAAACAAAGGTTAATATCTGAAAGATGCAGGCAAAAGGACATCTGGAGGGTAGAAAACAACCGCTAGGAAAGTAGGCAGTGGGAAAAATGGATACAACTGTTAGACTGATGGGTTGGAGGCCATGAGCACTGGCAGATGGACCTGCAAGGGGTTTGGGGAAAAATAAATAGAGGAAGCAGGAGGAGTTGTCCTACCTTCAGTAAGCTCTTGGGCTCGGCCCCCTCCAGGTACCTCTTGCCGGAAGTCCCTTCGTAGACAGAAGTCTCGAAGAGGCCGAGTGCTGCTCAAGCACTGGAGCACAGCATTCAGGAAGCACTGGGAAGCAGCAGAGATACTGCCATTATCTCTCCCGGAAACTCAGGAGAGCTTCAGTGCTCTCCTTCTACATGCCTTCCCCAATTCCCCAAGTTCTCTCCACCCCCAATATCATTTCACATTTCCTTTTAGAAAGGAGGAATAGAATGGCTCTTACTGTATTTCCCAGATTTCGGAGGCCAACATGACCAGAGCCCAGAAGCAGCGTATGATGAGCCTGAAATGTCAGGGTACAGTCAGCAGTTTCCCATATATCCACTTTAATCTTCTAATAGCATGCTGCCTGCTGCCTCCCCCACCCTATACGTGCCCAAACTCTACCCTCTCCCTCACTGTCTCCCTACCTCACTGGTCATGAGCAGTAAGCCCATCACAGCTGAGTGTACCACAGACTCAGCCATGGCTGTCCCACCTATTCCCCACTTACTCCTCTGCCCAGCTAGACGGCGCTGCAGCTCCTGGGGCAACTCCCCAAGCACTGGCATGGTTGCCCAGCTGCTCCTCACCCCCACCTTGCTACCTCCAAAGCCCCCTCCTGCCCCCGTGGCCCTTTCCTGCACCCTCTCTTGTAGGCACCAACTGCAACCAGCCTAGCTCACTTAGCTAGGGAAATGGGCAACCACATTAGCTCAGATGTTCTGAACCCACCCCTCTTCAACTCCAGAGATTAATTAGGCCTAGGCAGAGTCCTAAGAGAGAAAATGCAGTAAGGGAAAGGAAGAGCCTGGGGACCCAAAGAAGTATTCTAAATAGTTGGGTTAATTCCCTGGGGACCAAAATGGCACACCATGCTGGGGACTCACAGACAACCCAGAAAAGGGTTTAGAAGGGCCCAGAAGTAAGGGAGAGGAGAGGATCCACTGCTATAAGGAACTTAGGAAAAAAAGGGACAGGAAAATCACATGATGACAAGAAAGCCGGAGGCATAAAGGTATAGGAGCTTGGAAGGCCACGTGTGTTGGCAATTCCTCACCATCTTGTCATCAGAGTAGAAAGGCTCAGAGGGCCGGGCAGATATCATGTGGAAGGAGCCATGGGAAGTGGGGGGCTCTGTCCGTATGCTCAGCAGGGTCGGGGGTCCAGGAAAGCCCCCAAGACGGCGGAGAGAAGTGCTACGTCTCAAAGTGGGCGGCTCAGGCCGGAGTGCCAAGCGGCTCAGTGCAGCCCCCAGCTCTCCAGTGCCACGATGCCCTCCCAAGGCAATCCCCATTGGACGTAAGTCCCCACTGCTCACAGACTTGGAACGGGCTAGGTTGGTCCGGGATGGGATGGGCAGAGCCACAGTTGGGGGTGGTGAGCCAGGCAGGGGAACCCCATGATCTGCCCGAAGGGGGCCTCTGGGACGAGGGCCTGAGGTCCGACCCCGTCCAAGCTCCAGTTTCTTGAGCCGTTCATCAGGGGGACCTGGCCGAGGAGGCAAAGGTCGTAACATAGGGTTTGGCCCAGGGGCTGGGTTGCGGCGCTCCTTGCTGCGGGCCCGGGGGGCAAATTGTAGCTTAGATCCCACTCGGGGTTGGACATTGACAGGTGGTTCTCGGGTCCTGCCCAGGCGGTGCTCAGAGGCCTGGGGCATTGTGGACACCACAGGCTGGACCTGGGAGGAGAAGAGGAGGTCAGCATCTGAATTATGGAGGGAGATGARACCCTAGGCTACCATATTAGTTTGCACATGCACTGAAGACACGAATCATRTCTATCAGATTAGTCATTATCTTCCCAGGACCTAGGAGTGTTTGCCACGAAGAAAATACTTAGTAGCCCTTGAGTAAATAAATGAAGGAAAGATAGCAGCTCATGACTTTGACCCTTTCAATATCCCCACTCTTTCCCTAGAGAATACAACTTTACTAAAAAGCCTGTGCTAATCAATTGTCTTAATAATCCAAAACTCATAAAAAGAGGTCTTATACCTGGCTAGTCAAGTGGGGTGTACCCTGGTCCTGTGGTTAAATTCAAGTATGGATGCAAGAATAACTCCTCAAAAGACAGCATTCCACCCTCAAATCCCTGCCCCTCCGGGTTGCAAATGAAGCAAACTAAATGGGTGACTTGCGACCCATTCCTTCCCCCACCTACGAGCTCCGACATGGTGTTGAGGCTCAGGGGTCAAAAACTGGAGATGCAGGACGAACAACTCTTGACCCCTAATCTCTGCACCTCACCCACCACAGCAGGGTTTTACCCGGGTCCGCCCCCCTCGAGGGCAAAAAGGCCGAGACCGCTGATTGGCTACAGGGTCCGGCGGCGTATTCCCTGCGGTCTAGGAATGTTGTCCCTCCAGCCCAGTTCTCCCCTCCAGCCCAGTTCTCCCAGGCCCCGCAGGGCCCCACGAGCCTCTGCCTTTGTGGAGAACCCGCTGGGGTCTGGAGCACTCTTCCCTCAGCTTCCCCTCCCCCGCCATAACACCCCGGCCCGTACCTGTCCCCCTGCGAGGTGGCAGGGGAGGCCAGCCAGGGCCAGACTCCAGCTCAGGGTCACCCCCTCCTACCCCCGTGCAGCCCCCCYGCCGGCCGGGCTGCAGCTTTAGCTGCAGCTGTTGCCCAGATCTCTCCCGCCGCAAGGGCCGCCGCCATCTTTGTTGGTCCCACCCGGCCACCGGCCACCAGCTTCACAGTCTCTCAAGGCGCCTGCGCACCCACACTCTAAATCCTGCCTCCCCCTCTGCGTTTGCGTGAGCCCGCCCCCACGGCTCCTGGGCCGACACCATGGAAACGATGCCAACTTTAGAACCGCTAGTTCTCAGCCCGGCTCTGAGTGGTCTTTAAACCATCGCTCCAAAGCAAGTTCCGAGGTCCAGGCTTCTGTCATCCCGTCCTGGGAAAATTCAAGAATGGCCACGAAGCTTGTAACACAGATCAGGGCGGGTGCTAGAGTGACAACCTGCAGGCCTGGGTCCAGATAGCAGATGACCAACAGAGAAGCATCTAGTACTCCACATAGGGATAGGAAGATCCCTAGAGGGCAGGGAATGCTGGATCTGCAAAACCATTCTTCAACCTTCTTGCAGGCGTAAGCAGTAGGGAAAAGCATGGCATGCTGCTAAAGGACAAAGCAGATCTCAGCAGCAGGGAGAGCAGTCAGATTTTCTTTAATTCCCTAGCTCCTGACCAAAGCATACACCATTCCCCACTTCCTCCCAACCTACTGTGTCTGTTCAATATGCCTCTGGTTTTAGCTGCTCACCTTCTGTTAAAAGCCACCAACGAAAACGACAGGTTACCATGGGAAGCAGCTTTATTGATGGGTTGTCAACAGAAATCAAAAAGGCTATGTACTCATTTTCAGCTACTCCCTATGCCACCAGGATTGAGGCCTCCATTGCTCTACCTGGAAAGGGAATATAAATTGCCTCTTCATTTTCTAAAGCAAGTCTTTTCCCTTCCTGTGCAGCCTAACTTAAAAATTCAGTGACAATACTGTGTGTATGTTGTTTTCATCAATAATGCCTGCTGCAGCAACTTAGAAACAACCAAAGGTGGAAGAGCGATAGGGGGAAGTGATCAGATGAGTAAGAAGAGTGATGCACAAGAAAGGAACGTAGCCACTGTCCTGCCTCAGTGGCTGGATCCTTCACTGGTTGCATTTCTCTTTGTGCTGGATCACACCCTTCTGAATCAGATCAGGAATTTCCACTGCCAGCCATGGACCCAGCTGCAATACAAGGGAGACCCTGTGAGATTACTACCACTCAGTTAATGCCTCTTGTTCCATCAGAAGCTCCTTCCTGGAGATTCTGGGGGAACATGCCCAAGAGACATCACTATTATTCCTTGTTTACTCTCAGTTACTTTTCCAGGGCCTAACCCCAACACCTCCCCTTCCTATACCAAGTATACCAGACTTACCCCCAGGGCCATGAGATGAGCTAGTCCAAACTTGGGCACATTCCTGGCCCACAAGGGTTTRAAGTGATCAGTCAGGCATATTTTGCCACCCCTGTGAGAGGTATAAGAGAAAGAGATTGATATGCAAAATTCACCAAAATGCACAGCAGCCTCTGGGAACACAAGAAGACCACCAGTGCTCAAAACTAATAACAAAGTCACCTAAGTACTTTGCCCAGGCTTAAATCCCTCTAAGTGAGTAGACTCAGAAAAATTTCTGCCTTGAGAGTTCTTCCCTAAGTCCTTCTCCATCTCATTTTCAGTCCTACCTGTACATCTTGGCTGTTTTTCCATCCAGCTCAGGGACTGCAATTTCTGGAGCAGTAGTGGGATATGTGATAGGAATCTGGAGGAATTATAGAACCTTAATAAAACAGAATTAGGCTAGATAGGAACTACTCTAATCAAACACACATATTTCTTTTCTTTCTTTCTCTCTCTCTTTAATCTTCCCACACATTTCTTGGTTGAATTGAAATGTTCAGCAAACTTCCCCAGCAGCTTCGACATGCCAGGATTCCTGATATGGAGATTAAAAGCTATAACTAATGCTTGCTTCAAACCTCAACTTTCCCCTCCCATTTGTAAAGTTTTCTTTGGTTTCTTCAAGAAAGATTAGCTTGTTAATAGTCATCTGATCTCTCCCCTTCCACTAACCTTCATRTTTCCCACTTCATCACACTTACATCAAATTCGATGTCAAACTCATATTTGAGGAGGTCATGGATGTACCAGCATTTTCCAAACCACCTGTAATAAAGACCAAATTTCAGTTAAATTTGCCCATCCCTCTTTTACTCAAATGACATCTTGGTTTAGGGCTAAACTGGGAGACTCATCTCCCAGGTTGGGGAAATCTGGGGCTATAGAATTACAGATAGCTAACCTGACACAAGTCAGTTCCAGCAGTGGATTTTGGGATACCAAACTGCACAAGCCAGGTAAGACTCCCATCCCCCACCTCCCAAGAGGGTATACCTACCGGGTACCTTCCTTGTTGGACTCCAGACGGAACCAATCATTGTCTGCATTCTTGTTGTTCTCCACATACTAAAAGCAGAGAATGAAATCTTTGAGGGGAAAATAGGAGCCACGGGCATTCCCTCTCCCCACAAAAGAAAATTATGATTACTTCYCTCTCAGTACATTTACCAAATTTTTATGACGTAAGTAAAACTAAAGACAAGGCTACCCTGGTAAGTTGGGGACTTGCCCAGAGCAAAGAATAGAAGACTTGGGTTCCATTCAATTTAACAGGCACAAAAGATGTAAAGATATCATCTGGATTCTTTTCTTATTTCTGATAGTATCTGCCCTCAGCCCACAACTCACCTTATGGTATACTCCCTTAAAGGAGGGCCTTAAGCAGTCCTGGATTCCACTAGCACCCACATGCTGATAACTACCAGATCTTTTATTTTTAGTCCAGATCTTTCCTCAGAAATTTGGACTTAAGTATACAACTGTATCTTCAAATTTCGACCTTTAATTTGAATATTCCTGAAACCTGGCACTTCCACCTGGTATTTACAGTATTTCTTCAGACCTGTTTCTCATCCTGCATTCTCAATCTCAGGTTGAGGTGTTAGCATTCACTTAGTCAATGAAGCCAAAAACCTGGGAATTATCCTTGACCTTTTTGATACTGGGATTTAACTCAGAGCTACTTTACTACTAAGCTATGTCCCCAGTCCTTTTTATTTTTGAGACAGGATCTCACTAAATTGTTTAYGGCCTCACTAAATTGCTGAAGCTGGCCCAGAACTTGTGATCCTCCTGGCTTAGCCTCCTGTGTAGTTGGAATGATAGGTGTGTGCCACCATGCCTGGCTGGATATTCTTCAAATCTACCTCTCCTTTCTATTATGACCACAATGCCTCATTTAGATCGTCATCTTTCTTTCACTTGGATTAATGACAGCCTCCTAACTTTTCTTCTACCTTTAACCTTACCCCTGATCAATTGTATTTTTCTCTGTGTCACTGACCTACACCCAAATCTGGTCATGTTACTCATCAGCTTAAAATCCTTTAAAGGCATCCCAACACCTCCAAATAAAATTCAAACTAGAGTGATGGGTGGCACACACTTAATAATCCCAGCTACTTGGGGAGACTAAGGCAGGAGGACGGCAAGTTGTAGGCCAGCCTGTGCAACTTACAGAGATCTTGTCCCAAAAGAAAAAATAAAAAGGGGGCTGGGGATATAGCTCAGTCAGTAGAGTGCTTGCCTCACATGCACAAGGCCCTGGGTTCAATCCCCAGCACCACAAAAAAATTAAAAATAAATTAAAAAATAAAAGCGGGAGCGATGGCTGAGGATGTCACTCAGTGGTAGAGTGCCTTAGGGTTCAATCCCTAGTACCACAAAATAAAATTCAAGTGCTCAAATCTATTTCCCCAGCCTTGTTTACTTCCTGCCTCTATCTGAATCTCTAGCAACTCTGAACTATTTGTTTCTTTATAAACATCATGCCACATAGAACTTATATTCCTTTGCTTATGATGTTCTCATGTCTTAAGTATCCTTCTCCCACCTTTATGTTCTATTAATTAGCCTTACTTATATTTTCCTTTAAATCTCAGCCCAAACATTACTGTTCTCAGGAAGCCTTCCTTGACCAAACTCAAGCTCGATTAGATATTGCTTCTCATGCTCTCAGACCATCCTGGCCATTTCTTTATTTCTATTTAAACACTGTATGATACTGTTTCTGTCTACCACGGTAGGCTCCTCCTTACTCGGTTTTGTTTCCCCTTTTTAGACCCAAGGGACAATAATGATATTGAGATTTTACACACACACACACACACACACACACACACTGAATGAATACATGAGTAGGATATCTGCTGAGAACACTATGAAAGATTTTCTTCCCTTTTCATAATAGGAAGATTAGCTGATAAGATGGCTCATTTCTAACTATTTCTAAAATAGTTATCCAACTATTGTGTGCCTCACATTGGGTATAGAGAGACATTCCATCCAACTCTCAACAACTAACACCTACTTGAATTTTCAGTCCTAACGTGTTTTTCTTCGTTACGGAGAATGAAAGGGGGAGCAGAGAGACGCGTTGGGATTTAAGGGCCCAACAAATACTTCTGACCACCACTTTTACATACCCTAGGACAAACACCTGGAGCAGGAGAGACACGTCACCTTCCGGGTAAGTGTAAGCTTAAAATACTGCTGTCTTTAGCTATAAGATATAGTCCCACTTTTACTAATCTGAGTCTTTCTTTCCAGCTTACTTCCCGTCATTCTTCCTAAACCACCCAGCCCAGCAAACCGTCCCATTTCTCTGAATTTAGAAGTTAAAATTAAAAACCGGAAGCGGCTTCCACACGGAGCCTATTCCTGAGAACACCTGATTACCTGCAAGCCCTTTGCTACGCGGTCGATCATAAAGCACAACTGACCCGGATAAGAGACTGGTATTCCTCCTTTAGTCGCTGCACCCACAACTCCCGATCTCGGGGTCCGGCATTAGTTTTCAGCACTGGAATCTCAGACACAACACGCCGTGTGGCCTCGTCCGCCATCTTGGATCAGGGCGCAAGAGTAATGCGGAAGTGGTGCTGTCTGTAACTTACGCTCGGGCGCAGCCATCTTTACTATGGGAAGAAGAGGAGTAGGATTGCCTTAAGACTTTTCTGAATGCAATCTTTTTTTTCTTGTAAGGAGGGCAAATTTGCTATCTGATTACCCGCTTGTGATGCGTCAGGAAGAACGAAATAGAAACGGACTGCTCTGTCCTGAATATGTCACCTATCACTAAATCACCAGAGACRGCTCGGAGAAGGACTTCCGTTCATGCTCAGAAGAAACAATCAGGAAAAACGATCCCGGAGGTCTTCCCAAACCTGGAGCGTTTTTCCAATTTCASGCTCTTCTAGGCACCCTTCTAGGAACTGCCTTCCTAAAACACKCAATTCTGCTTCAAAGCTTCCTTACCTTAAGTATTGTCCAGCTGAATACCAGAGGCCAAAGGAGTTATCCAATATAAGTGTGTTGAACTCATAATTATCAGAAACCATGCAAAATCAATGTATAATATACAGTCCCTGCCCTGAAGGATTAATATAATTGAATTAAAGAATTATTAGTAAAAAGGACTTTAGAAGTTACCAGAAGACTTGGTCTATCCTAGAAGAGGTATTCACTGGTTGAGCACTAGACATTTTTGGTAATTAACCAGTAAAGAATGTCTCTCTATACCCAATGTGAGGCACACAATAAGTTCTCAGTCATCCTTTGCAAAAATTTTTTATCTTCAGTTAGTTTTAAAATTTAAACACATTCRGGTCTGGGGATGTGGCTCAAGCGGTAGCGCGCTGGCCCTGGCATGTGTGCGGCTCAGGTTCGATCCTCAGCACCACATACMAACAAAGATGTTGTGTCCCCGGAAAACTAAAAAATAAATATTAAAAAATTCTAAAAAAAAAATAAAAAATTAAATACATTAATTTTGGATTTAAATATCTTAAGTGAATCAGTCCAGCCTGTGGTAGTAATTCTAGATCAAATTCTATAATTCATCAAATTCTTTAGTCCATCTATAAATGTGATGAGCATTCTGTATCTTGTCTAATTGCCCTGGCTGAAACTTTCAGTACAATAGTGTATACAAATGTTGAGAGTAGACATCTTTGTCATGTTCTGATGTTAGGAAGAAACTCAATCTTTCCAGTATGACATTAGCTGCAAGTTTTTTCTAGATATCTTTAATCATGTTGAGAAAGTTCCCTTCTATTTCTAGTGTTTAGAGTTTTGTTTTGTTTTTAAAGTCACAAATGGATGTTGTTTTTTTCCAAAGGCTTTTCTGTGTTCCTTGAAATGACAGTTTTCCCACCTCTATTTTCTTTTTTATCWATCAATTTCTTTCCTTTTCCCACTCTTTTTCCCCCCGCTTAGCACTGGGGTTTGAACCCAGGGATGCTCTTTGTTAAACCATGATGCAAAGTAAAGACCACCTATTCCAATTTTAAATCAAATTAAAGCAAGCTTGTAATTCTGGCCAGCCAGGACTGTCTTGTCAGAAATCCATGGGTTAGAGGACAGTACCTCAGCTCTCTAGGAGCGTGGTTTTATAGCACAAAAAGTTTCAAAAGGGGGGGGGTGTCTTGAGAACATACAGATAACAGGATTTTGACACGCAGCAGATAGTAGGTTAATGATCTAAATGGTTCAACATTTCAAGTTAGGGAGTAAATTTAGATCCCAATACCAGAATTTATGAGGCACTGCTAAGGTTTCAGAGAGGGCTGTTATCTGGTCAGGGAAAGCCAGGCATGGTTGAGTTCAAGGCACAGGCAGGCATTCCAAGCAAGTTAGAAATCGCAGTAATTTATAGTAAAACAGAAATTAACTTTTCATGACTTTGTGATGAGATGGCTCCTAATCTTAAGGTGGAATTAGGCTGGGTTTATCACTCTACCCTGAGCTACATCCCCAGCCCTTGTCTAAGTTGCCAGGCTAGTCTAAAACTTGTGAGTCTCCTGCTTCAGTCTATTGAGTAGCTGGATTTTTTTTTTTTTTAAGGTGATTGAAGCCAAGGGATGGTTATACTGAGCTATAAACCCAGTTTTTGTTGTTGTTTTGTTTCTTTTTTTGACACAGGTCTAAGTTGCTGAGGCTGGCCCTGATTTGCAGTTTTCCTGCCTCAGCCTCCCAAATCACTAGGATAACAGGTATGTGCCATCTGTCTGAATGGCAGTGACAAAATTCTTGGCATTTTAAATGAATTTAGAGTACTGAGCTTGGACACACAGTATTCCAGAAATCGGCAATATTATGTAAATGAAATCAGTATCCCGTAAGTGGAGAAACAATGTTGCAAACATCTACATTTTCACAGAGGAAAATTCTAGATGGGGATTATGAAAGTCAAAAAACTAAGATWATTGATTCTTAGTAAAGTTTAAATGGTTATTAAAGAGTGATTTGTGGGGTCTGGGAATATAGCTCAGTTGGTAGAGTGTTTGCCTCACATGCACAAGGCCAGAGTTCGATCCCCAGCACCAAAAAAATAAATAAATAGTGATTTATGAGTTGGGTGCGATGGCACATACCTGTAATCCCAGCTACTTGGGGGGCTGAAGCAGGAAGATCTCAAGTTTGAGGCCAGCACGGACAATTTAGTGAGACCTTGCYTCAGAATAAGAAACAAAAAATGGTCTGGGAATGTGGTTCAGTGGTAGAAGGTCCCTGGGGTTAAAACCCCAGAAACACACACACACAATGATTTATTAGCAGTGAGATTAAAAATCAATGATCTCCAGAATCCCTCAAAAATGGTTCATTACCATATGATTTAGTCCCCCAAATTGTCAGCTCTACCTTTCTTTCAAACCTTTTGTGGGTATCCTTTTCTCAGCCTACAACATTCCTGTGGCTCAAGGTGATTGGCCTCTTGTCTTTCAGACTGCACCTCCTTAAAGATAAACTTCACTGATTATTAATTTTTCTGTCACAACATTCTGTTCTTTTCCTTCATATCACCTATCTCAATTTAGAATTTTATATTTGTACACCCATGTAGATGGTGAGCACCACAAAAACAGACCTTATCTGTTTACTACTGATTTTCTTATGCTATATGGGTATCACAATAAATGCTTAACATATATTGACTAAATAATTGACTCCCCCCGCCTCTCTTTTCTTGGCAGTACTGGGGATTGAGCCCAGGGACACTCTACCATGGAGCTACACCCCCAGTTTTTTTTTCATTTTTTATTTTGAGATTCTGAAACAGGGTCTGGGTTGCTGAAGCTGACATGGAATTTGGGATCCTCCTGCCTTGGCCTCTCCAGTTGCTGGTATTACAAGTGTGTGCCACCACACCCAGTTAATTTTCCTTTCTTGCCAATGTAACTAGATTAGCAGATGAGAACATCATAGAGGCAGTGTACCTTGCTTTCAGAAAAATCTGCCAGTTTTTCTGATGTTATTTAAGAAAGTTGGAAAATAAAGAGTTAGAATATAAGGTAATTTTTACTTAATTGAACAACCAATCAAAGGAAAATTAAATTCTAATTAGCTGGTGAAATTGATGAGACAGGGCTGTTTTTATCATGACTTTTAAAATAATCAGTCTTGGACCAAGTCATCCCCATGGGGGCAGCATAGAGTTGTTGATAAAAAGCATGTTGAATTGCTGAAACCTGATGAAAATTGTTTATATGTATATTATTTAAAGATAATAAACAGATAATATTTTCCAAGTACCAGGCCCTGTGCTAACACTTTATATACATTATTTAACATAAATAATACCTCTGAGGTGGATATTACATTTCCTTCTTTTCTCAGATGAGAAAGGAAGGTGAGTTAAGAACTTGCCCAGTCAAATTAGTGCCAGAGCTGGGGAATTAATCAAAGGGAACAAGTTAAATAGACTTTTGGATAGCAGATCATTAGGATTCAACAAACGAATTTGGCCCCTGTGCTTCCATTCAGGAGCGAGGAGACACCAGAAAGGCTTACAGCTTACAACATTCACTGAAATTARGAGTTGGTATGATGCCTGAGTTAAAATGAGTAACTGGAGCAGCTTAGTTAATGGGAACCAAAAAATACAGCAGATTGGCAGGTTATTAAGTCCCTGTAGGACAACACTCGAGCAAAGCCAGGGCGGGGGGATGTAACTCAGTGGTAGAACACTTGCCTAACAAGCACCAGAGCTTGAGGCCCTGGATTCCATCTCCAGTACCACAAACAGAATTAAAGAATAAAGTCCAAGCCTGGGGGAGTAGCTTGGAGGTAGAGTGCTTGATTAACATGTGAAGCCCTGAGTTCAATCCTCAGCAAAATGGGGAGAGTGGGAGTAAAGCCCTGGCAGAACACAAGGATCAGAGTGTGCATGGAAGGGTCATGAAACTACTTGTGACAATGAGCTAACAGAATACAGACTTCTTTAAGGGAATGCTTGGTATGAAAAAATATTAATTCTGGTGAAGCAGAGAAGCAGCATAGACTGATAGATTGGGACAAGTAGATACAAWACAGGACTAACAAACTTAAGTTATAGAAAGATTTTTCTGGCTAGGYAGTGGTGTGTGCTTGTAATCCCAGTGAGAGGGCAGGATAAATACATAAGGCAAGAAATGAGGTTTTTCTTTTGACTATACAGATCATGTATAGTTTAAGCCAAGGAGGAGTAGCTGTCTGGCTGTGGCTAACAAAAAACCCAAAACTGTGAAATATTTTTCTCATTAATGAGCATGAGTGTCSTCCTTTATGTGGTTGCTCCTTATTAGTACTTACTCCATTCCACTCCAGGAAATCTGCTCAGCTGTTTACTGGCACAATGATCTCAACCTGGGTGCAGTGAATGGCGCAAGCCTGTATTCCCAGACTAAATAAATTAACAAATGAAGGCTGGGATTGTGGCTCAGAGGTAACACACATCTGGGTTCAATCCCCAGTATACAAAAATAAATAAATTGCCCAAGTCCTCTGTAAGTTTTGAGGGACACATTCCCCTTCCATACATCACAACTACCTCTGACCTGATGACCATTCCTTTAGGAAGAGCTAATGAGCAATCTGCAAGGAAAGGATATAGGGGAGATTGTTTACAAAGGACGTTTCAGTGGCTATAAAGG